TGTTTGTATTATTGTGTATATCACCTTTAGTGAATAATATAATTAAACCACCTTTAAATAAAAAATATTAAAGTAATTTTTAATCAACAGCAAAACACACAGGGAAACTAAAAGGCAACATAGGATAAAGAAAAAAGTCCACTGGCTCCAAATCTAATTTTGATCTTTAACCTGGGAACAAGAAGAAAGCACGAGAGATTAAGGAAGAAGATCACTCTGGATACAGAACAAAGAAAAGATTGGAGGGAGACAAGAGTGGATGTTTTAAGACTGGTTAGGATGCCACTGTAGTGGTTCCAGCAAAAGGCAATGAATGACAACCTGGATTAAGAGTAGCGGCAGTGACAATGGAGAAATAAGGGAATAATTTAAGAGATACTTAAAAGATAAAGACTTGGAGATGAAGGAAGGGGAAGGTGCCAAAGATGACAGCAAGATTTCTGATTTAAGTAACTGCATTTAGTAACTGAGATAGAAATGCTGGAAAAGAACCTGTTTGTATGTCTGCTTATTTGATCATTTCAGGAGTAGAGATAGAGTTTATCTTTGATATGCAGATGCTTCTCAACTTACAATGGCATTACTGTCCCCAGTAAAGACGTCGTAAGGTTGAAAACTCGTAAGTCAAACTCATAAGATGAGAACTGTCTGTATTGTGTTTCTGGTGTTTTTGAAAAATTCAAAAGGCAGCATCAGAGCAGGCAATTAGATAATCAAATTTGGGGCTTATTTAGAAATCTGAAGTCTGAGTAACACACTGATAAAAAAGAACCAAAGTCACAGGTATGGACGAGATTACTAGAAAAAGAGTAGGGCATGAGAAAGAATGAAATCTGGTGCGATGAGCCCTGAGAAATACCAAACTTCAACGGCTGGTAGAAGATGAAGAGCTCGAAAGAGACTGAGAAGAATGGCAGAAGACTAGAGGGAATCAGAAGCATGTGGTGTCATAGAAGCCATAATAGAAAGTATTTCAAGAAAGAGTGGGTAGAATATAGACTAATACTAAAGGATCCAGCAAAAAAGGGTGAAAATAATCTTAATTTTTCAATAAAAGGAGATGACTGGTGACCTTTCAAAAAGGCAGTTGATTCAAACATCATTTACTTAGCAGGCAAAGCCGTTTTTAAAACATAATCTCATCTATGAGTACAATCTATAAAAGTAATATTAACAAATCAGCAGCACTGCAATTGGAAGCAGAATGCTGACCTAGTAACCTATCCCTCCACACAGTTACCTGAGGCAGTCCACAGAAACCTAAAACATTGGAGATTATCTTTCTAACACCAGTGAGTAAACTAGATAACTTCCGATGTTCTATAATTCTGCAATGCATTTTAATTCACTTTGTTTGAATCCAGGCTTTCATGATGATTAATGACTGCTCTGTGTCTTAGTCAAAATCAGATATTAGTGTACTTCTTTATAAACACAAATATCCCAAGCTTTATTTCCTTGATTAAACTACTGATTAACTTTTCCTTCTTATAAAAGTAAGCCATGTCGAATTATGAGTGTGTTACATGGTTACGTCTCTGAAAGTAGAGTACTAAATTAAAAGCTAAACAAACAAACTTTCTCCTAAACTGGTTTTTGGGAGTTTGTTTTCAATAGAAATCATCATTTTACTATAGTAATTTTTATCACTGTTCTTGAATAAATTCCCTAGGATTCAAAATATTCTTTTTTGGCTGGGCAGGGTGGCTCATGCCTATAATCCCAGCACTTTCGGAGACTGAGGCGGGTGGATCACTTAAGATCAGGAGCTCGAGACCAGCCTGGCCAACATGGTGAAACCCGTCTCTACTAAAAATACAAAAACAAGGTATGATGGGACAAGCCTGTAGTTCCAGCTACTCAGGAGACTGAGGCAGGCAAATTGCTTGAACGTGGGAGGCAGAGATTGCAGTGAGTCAAGATGGTACCATTGCACTTCAGCCTGGGCAACAAAGCAAGACTCTGTCTCGAAAAAATAAAATAAAATACATAAATAAATATATCCTTTAAGAGGATCATGTATATCTTCTTTTTTCAACAGTACTAGTATCTTCTACCTTTTATTCAACCTCGACTCACTCATTATAATTAAGGTAACTGAGCAGAATGAACTTCTTGCTAAGTTTTAAGTAGCACCAAACACAGTTTAGGCAGAGAAGTTTTTTGCACAAGTAGACTCACTAGTAATCCTCATCATCTTTTGCCATTGGAATATTTATGTGGTATCAGAGGATGGATAACAGAATGACAGGCTAAGTTTCATCAGGACATATTCTCCACTTTATATACACTCATCCTTTCAGATCACTAGGCTGATCACTGAAAACAATCTTTCTTGATTTACTTGATTTACTTGTTGGCTAAGAGGAACCAACAGATGCAACACCACACTGTAAGAAGTTTCAAAGATTTAATGATAAACAGTAGACTTAATGTGTATTTATGCCAACTTTGATATAAAACCTCACTAAAGGTGAGAGTTGCAGAAAAAAGAGGTATCAACAGAAAAGGAAAACAAAAATAGAAGAGATCGACAATAGCAGAGAAAAAACTATAGCAATGTAATTTTGAAAGATAGTAGATAGAGAAGTTAACACAGCACAGAGCAAAGAAAACCACATACTAAGTACATGCAGAGAAGGATGCCAGTGCAAGTCATTCCTGCTGCATGGTGCAGTGCCCAGAAAAGACCTGAGTCATATAAGTAACAGGTAACCTAGAAGGCTGGCAGGGGATAAAGGTAAGGCATAGGACATAAAACAAGGAGACCAGGGAAAGTGTATAGAAGTACGACTAAATTCAGCAGTCTTCGATATTAAAAACTAGAAAAAGACTTTCTCCTTATAATCTGAAAGACTGAATAAAAACAAGGGACTATATTTCTCATCATATGATGCAGTGTCATCTGATGCCCTGTCCCTAGACCATTTAAAATCACATCTCTGCTTACCCCTAGAAGCCACACCTGTCTGTAATCAACTCTCTTCTTACTTCCTTACAAATAAGACCTAGTGCAGGTGAAAAGGAAAATTAAGGTGTTTTCTTTGAATGAGCAAACAGCAATCAGAAAAAGGCCATTTCACCTGATAAAGAAAAGGAACTTGATGACAATGTATAAGCATAAAAAAAATGAGAAAAATCTTAAGTATTCTTTCTTTTAAAGTCATAAGGAGAATTTATGAGTAAGAATTATTAGAAAAATGTGTCTTAAACTCTGCTTTCTTTAGCAGAATATCATAAATACAGTTTCTGATAATGTCATTCAACTTTATTTTAATAGAAACCTATTTCCATTTTTTAAAAAGAGGTAGAAAAGTCATAAATCTCTGCATAAGAGCTAAGTACAAGCTAATTCTGGGGTTTTGGCAAATCAGAAGTCTGAAAATGGAATACATAAGACGACTCTTATTATGGTGTCCTAAACTGAGGATAAACTAAAAATAGGAAAAAAAAATCAGCCTTTGCAGGAGAATCTGAGGTTGAAATTGCAAAACCAAAATAAGGAAAAAATAACAAAGGCTACACAGTCCAATATAATGAAATTCTGCATTTGAGGGAGAAAATTGCCTCCTGCTACCCTGAATGAATTTATATGAAACTGAAGCCTATTCTAGATGGCATAATTAATATATATTTATACTCAGAATACCCTTTAGAGGCTGAGCACAGTGTCTTCTTACACCTGTAATCCCAGCACTTTGGGAGTCCAAGGCAGGCGAATAAGGTCAGGAGTTTGAGACCAGCCTGGCCAACATGGAGAAACCCCATCTCTACTAAAAATATGAAAAATTAGCTGGGTGTGGTGGCAAATGCCTGTAATCACGGCTATTCAGGAGGCTGAGGCAAGAGAGCTGCTTGAACCTGGGAGGCAGAGGTTGCAGTGAGTCAAGATCGCACTACTGCACCCCAGCCTGGGTGACAAAGCAAGGCTCTGTTAAAAAAAAAAAAAAAAAAGAATAACCTTTAGAATATTTACCAAAAATATAGTAGGAAAGTAGGAACATAAAATAACCACTGAATTAAATATGATGGGTAGATATGTCATTATGCACCACATCCTTCTTACACTCCAATGCTGTTTTAGCAATGAACAGTCCAATTAAAGAACACACCAAAAATATGATCAAAGGTATACATTAGTGATAAAAACTAAGAGAATTAAAGTTGGTAATATATGTTTTTAAGAAATAAAAAACTAATAGAAAATGATGAGAAATTACAACCAGAAATAAAACATTAAGAAACAAAGACTGAAATCATTAAAATTTCATGGAAAATGAAAATGATGAACTAGATACTTATAACTAGCATACTATAGTGCTATGTCATCAATTAAACTATTACCAAAATAGGTAGTTGTGAAACATTTTTTCTAAAATGAGTCATAAATGTAAACTAATCTAGAATCTGTTATAGATAAAATAAATCCGTTCTAATAAAAATAAATTAATATTTTTGGAAGAAGCTGACAATATCCACTGATGAATAAAATGCGACCCTTTCAGAGCCATTCCATATACTTTATAATCTTAATAATTTAGGAGACAAAAAAGTGAAAAGTCTATTGAAATGATGGCAGGATGGCCAGGCATGGTGGCTCATGCCTGTAATCCCAGCACTTTGGGAGGATGAGGTAGGCGGATCACTTGAGTTCGAGACCAGTCTGGCCAACATGGCAAAATGTCATCTCTACTAAAGAATCACTTGAACCCAGGAAGCAGGGATTGCAGTGAGCCGAGACTGCGCCACTGCACTCCAGCCTGGGCAACAGAGCAAGACTCTGTCTTTCCCCATCCAAAAAAGAAATGATGACAGGAGAAGAAAATTAATAGGAATACAATCATGTAACATTGCCAAACTTCATAAGAAGTCTAGTTTAATTGTCTAACTTGCCATTTAAAAGATACATTATTTTTAGGAAACTAAAATAAAAAGAGTTTATTCTCTCTTTTATTAAAAATTCTTTACCTAGTAGATTTTCACCAGGTATTGGCAGAAAGAAGGAATTTTTAAGTACTGATTTGTATCATTCACATTGATCATCATATGACCATAACAGAATTTCAAAGCTAAGCTGTTATAGCCTCTACATTTTGCAGATGAAACACTGGGGAATCAAAAAGATATTTAGTGGTGTCTGTTTGTTTGACCAGAGACCATTCCTAACCCACTGGGCAGTCTCTGAAGAGAATATGCCAACAACAAAGCTTGTGTCAATGTTTCAGGGAAGAAAGGTGTTTGGATTCTGGACTCTGCAAAGAAAAGTGGGAATTTAAAGAAAGTCACTGAAAAATTTCTTGAAAGGATAAAACGTAATAGCATAAATTAGATTATACATATTCCTATGCAGCAAGGAAGATAAAACAGCTACAAATTTAAAAGATGTTTATCTATATTGGTAACATATAAAACTAGTCAAATCTGAAAGACTAGGGAAAACACAAAGATGCATTTTCATTCCTTTAACAAACAGTTTTTAAGATATACTGGGCCAAACACTATTCTAGACAATTAAGATTTAAAAAGAAATAAGGAAGGAAAAGACTAATCCCCACATAGAACCCCAAAGATTTTGTGAGGCAAAAATATGACCAAAAGATAGCTTGCGAGGGGTGGCTAGAAACTGCAAGGCATCTTAAAGAGGATCGTTTTTGCTTTGAGAATAATCATTTAAACAATCCGTTTTAGTTCTGAAGCAATTTGGCAATTAGTAACAATTTTTCAAGAGGAAAGATAGAAAAAGACATTGCTTTCAGCTTCATGAAAGCAAACCACTCTCCCATAAATCCTATGGAATGCAGAGCAATGAAGACAGAGTGTGCACAGGAATCTAAGATCTTATCTCTCTTGGACTGGTGGCTTCAGAATGAGGTCAGCTGCTACCAGAGAACTGAAAAATCTCCATGTCAGAGAAGTAGAAGGTACAGGCTGATGATGGAACCTAGACGGTCATGGAAGGAAAGATCTAATTCTAGATAAAGGTGTGTCACTTCTGAGCAGGCTGGTCTAAAAGTGTTGACAGGAATAGTTATTTAATGTGTATATGTATGTGCCAATTTTGTTTAAAGAGGTTTAAGATTAAACATTCATGACTAAGGTGATACAAAAGAAACCTAGCAACTACCTTTCCAACTCTTTATGTCCTAAAATACTACCATCAGACTAACAGGGGTGGCTCAGAAACACCTCTCTTCAACACTATCAATACAGAGGGCTGAAGGCAGTAAATGCACAAAAAATGGTTTACATCTACAAACGCAGTAGCATTTCACCATTCCAGAAACTGGAGTCTGGAATCAAGACCCCTTGAATAGAACATGTTTAAAAACTCAAAGCATATAACATAGGAACAGAAAACCAAATACCACATGTTCTCACTCATAAGTGGGAGTTGAACAATGAGAATACATGGACACAGGGAGGGGAATATCACACACCAGGGCCTGTCAGGGGGTGAGGGGTTAGGGGAGGGACAGCATTATGAGAAATAACTAATGTAGATGATGAGTTGATGGATGCAGCAAACCACCATGGCATGTGTATACCTACGTAACAAACCTGCAAATTCTGCACGTGTATTCCAGAACTTAAAGTATAATTTAAAAAAAAAAAAAAAAAAACCCTCAAAGCACAATTTTAAAAGGAAGAACCTAGGAAATAAAAACAGGTATCCCTGCAATACTGCAATGCACTATCATTTAGAAGGGGGTAGGAGGTGGGGAGTATAGGAGCCTGCCTATTGCATTTGAATAATAAAGAAATGTAACCTTATTTTGTTCTGCAAGCTGAAGAAGAAAAATCTATCATTACACAGAGAATTACAATTCTACTGAAGATCACAAATGAATCATGTACAAATGCCATGAGCACATGCAAGAAATGGGAAACAATAAATCAATATATCTACATCTGCACTGTCTATTACACATATGGCCATTGAGCACTGAACAGTGGCAAGGCCAAGATGTGCTGCAAGTGTAAAATTCCCACTGGATTTCAAATACTTAGTACAAAAATAAAAATTGTTTTTATATTGAGTTAATGTTGAAATGATAATACTTTTGACATAGTGGTTTAAGTCAAATATATTATTAAAATTAATTTCACCATTTTCTTTTTTTTTCTTAATGTGGCAACTAGAAACATTTAAAATATATATATGGCTCACATTTGTGTTATACTTCTATCAGTCAATACTGGTCTCCCCCATGTTAGGCTTTCTCCCAGAATATGATTTTACTAGGTCAAAAAACAGGGGTAGGCTGGAAAGACAATACAGATACAAAGAACAGTTAAGAAGCTACTGAAATAGCTTGAGTATAAAACAATTTGAGCCAAATCTGACATGATCTTTTTTAAAAAAGGAATAAATAGCAAGGATAACTCAAAAAGACAAAGTGACAAGCCACTTAACAGACTTCAATGACTGTTTAAAAATTGGTTGTCCCTAATAGAAGCATATAATATGAATGAAGAAATAGAGTACTAGAGGCAAAATAAAAGGCAAAGGTTAAAGGCTGATTTGAGCCAAAACAGCAATAGCCATAAAAAATACACTTTTCTCTATAAAGAGAAGGAAAGGGGGACAGAACTACCTTAGAAGACAAGTATAAAGACAGCCATCCAAAAGGCAGAAGAGGCCGGGAAAGCCAGTGTTTTAGAACGCTTATTACAAATAGAGAATCTGAGTAAAACTACTCTCTTCATTTTAGTTCTATCATCTCATATTGCTACCAGTTATGACTTATTTTTAAAAATACAAAATTGAATATGTAAACTAAGAGTGGATCTAAAACTTCTGAAAATTTCTCACATCTAGACAAGTAGTCTTGAGCTACAGTTTATTGTACCTTTTCCCTAACTCTCTAGTACATATAACAAGATGATTTAACATTGTAAACACACTAATTTTCTCCAAATTAATCTATATTCAAAGCTATTCCATTCAACTCCTACCAAAAATTTCCGGGTAACATGATATACAGATTGTAAAACTTACATGTGAAACCAAATGTCCCCAAATATTTAAGAATATCCTGGCAAAAGGGAGGCTTGATTTATTACGAGATAATCAACATTATACCAAGTTGCACAGAACTACACAAGCACAATAAACAATTTGGAGCTAAGTCAGAGTCATAAAATTGTAGAACGGTTTAGAGACTATTGAGAATAACATGTTCAGTTCACAGCTGAAACAAAGCTACAAAGTAAGCAGATCATGTATAAAATAGAAAACCAAAAAAAACCCAGCATATATTGTGTAGAAATAAAAGCAAAAAAAATTTAAAAACAGGAAAATAATTGCCGCCTAGGAGTAGCACTTGGGGTGCTGAAAAAGGTAAGAGACTGTTCTATTTTTCAGTATAAATCACTCTATTGTAATTGACTTTTTAAATCATGGATGGGCATTACCATGGATTATATGAAACTTACATAATTTTTTCAATAATAAAAAATACTACCTTCATTATTCTGAATATACAAAAAGGAGAAAAATAGGCTGGTACAGTGGCTCATGCCTGTAATCCCAGAAATTTGGGAGGCTAAGGCAGGTGAATTGCTTGAGCTCAGGAGCTTCAGATCAGCCTCAGCAACAAGGCAAACCCCGTATCTACAAAAAATACAAAAATTAGCAAGGCATGGTGGTGCACGCCTGTAGTTCTAGCTGAGGTGGGAAGATCACTTGTGCCCTGAAGGTCGAGGCTGCAGTAAGCCACGTTTGTGCCTCTGCACTCCGGCCTGGGTGACAAAGTGAGACTCTGTCTCAAAAGAAGAAAAGAAAAAAATGAACCATAAGAAATAAGGTGGCAGAAATCCTCAAGAAGCAATTATACCTAGATTCAAAGGTGTGCCTAAAAAATTATGTATGTCATGATCAAGCAGCATTTAACTCAGGAATGCAAAAATGGGTTAGCATGACAAAAATCAGTGTAATTTACTACATAAATGGTGTAAAAATGAAAAATGATGTGATAATCTCAATAGATACAGAAGAGGCATTACTTAAAATTAATGCCCTAAAAGGTGTTAAAGCCCAAAATCTATTTATGATTTTTTAAAAGAATTCTTGGAAGAACAGATCACAAATTTCTTAACATAATAAAGCATGTCTAATAGAAATCTATCACAAACATACTTAACAGAGAAAATTTAGTTATATTCTCTTTGAGGTTGAAAAGAAGGTATAAATGTCTTCTCCTTCATCTAACTAGAACAAACACTTAATTCAATATTAGAGGTCCTGGTCAAAGTATAAAATTAGACAATGATGAGAACTAACAGAATTCAACAGGATTGTTGAATCAATAAAATAAATAAAAAATGTGGCAGTGTACTAGAAGTAGCAATAAAAAAGGGAAACGACATGATTTACTAAAAAAGCAGAAAATGACAAATATTTAGAAATTACCATAACAATAATAAAAAATTTAAACTCAATTACAGAACAGAAAAAGACCTTTAAAAAAAAAAAGCCATAGCATTCATTGAGAAAGTGATTTAACATGGCAAACCCACATCAATTTTCTCCACAGTAATCTAAATTCAAAGACATTCCAATTAAACTCCTAACAAAAATTTCTGCGTAACATGACAAACTGATTCTGAAACTTTCATGTTAAACCAAATGTCTACAAAGATTTAAGGTAATGCTGGCAAACAGGGAGACTTGACTTAATACCAGATATCAATTACAAAGTCACTGTAATAAAAAGTATGGTTACTAGAAAGAAAACAGACTAATAAATCAACTGCCTATACTACACATCTGAGAAACAGACTCACTCATTTGTCAGGCCATTTTTCCTACATATGCCATATATGCACAGATCTGAACCATGAGTTTCAAACACTGAATTTTTCTGAATTCATTGTTATATTTAGACTTTACTTTTTTCAATCTAGGGAGACTGGAATACATTAGAACTCAAAGATTCAACCTTCATTTTCCTAAAATAGTATTTTCTACAATTTCTGTCCCTAACCTCTAGTGTTCCTCCATCTTCTCCTCCTTCAACCACAGAAGGTAAGATTTTTCTGTTCTCTGGCAAGGGGGGCTAGAAGACAGACAGATGACAATCACATATCACATTTTCTCTAAATTAGCATTTTAACAGAGATTTATTATACAATGCTTTACATGCATAGGTTGAATACCCCTTTACTGAAATGCTTGGGACCAGAAGTGGTTTCGATTCTGATTTTTTTCAAATTTGGGAATATTTGCATTATACATACTTAACAGTTGAGCATCCCTAATCAAAAAGTCCAAAATGCTCCAATGAGCATTTCTTTTGAGCATCATGCTGGCACTCAAAACGTTATTAAATTTTACAGTATATCAGTGTTTAGATTAGAGATATTCAATCTGTAGCGTATTTAATACACTGTGTTCAAATTACTAGTTCCCTTTCTTTTACCCCAGGCACCCAGTCTGATGTCTCCATACATAAATTCTCAACTAGCTTATACTCTAATTTCTAAAAGAACAGTTAGTAAGGAAAAAAAGAAGCATATGATGAGGTGGTTGCACATGAAATAAACTCTTTCCTGTGGTGTAAGTAGCTCTCATACTTGAACATGCATTAGAATCACTTGGAGAACTTGTCAAAACACAAACTGCTGAACTCCATCCACAGTGTTCCTACTCAAAAGGTGTGGGGGTGAGTTGCATCTGTGAAAACTTCCTGGGTGGTGCTAATCCTCCTCTACAGGCCACATTTTGAAAAACACTGCCTTACAAAAAAAAAACACTTTATCAAGTAGGGGCAATTTTGTTACCTGAGGAAACCGGGCAATGTCAGAGTATATTTTTGGTTGTCACAAATGGGAAAAGGGGTACTCCTGGCATCTAGTGAGTAGAGACCACAGATGCTGCTAAACATCCTACCATGTACAAGACAACTCCCACAGCAAAGAATTATCTGGCCCAACACATCAGTGGTTGAGGTTGAGAAAACCTGCTACAGAGTAAAATACAACTTATTTCAAACATACGATTCAACCATTAAGTTGGTAAAAGTTCTTCAGTGCATTTCAGAAATTTAACATGGAAAAAATATTCAAAAATTTTATTTTTTGTCAAATATTAACGACTCTTTGAATTTTACTCTACAGTAAACTACAGCAAAATGAAGTTTTAGAGATATTAATCCATAAAAGTATACCAAGTTACAAAAGGAAATAAACATTTATGCAAGGCTATTTTTTAATTATTTTTTAAAAAACTAAGTATATTAAAAGACTAGCTTCCTTGAAAAGTAATGACCAACAATGTTTATTTCTTAAGCTGAGTAAAAACAGACAGGTGCTCATTTTAGTATTACATGTATTTAGACATAAATAAAATAGTTCATAATGAGCAATTTGTTTTAAGGAAAAGCAGCAATCACAGCAGTAATCAACCCTAAGTAAATAAGTCAGAGGCATATATGTATATGTGTATATATATGTATATCTGTGTACACACACACACACACACACACACACACACACACACAAACACAAACAAACACACACACACAGACAAATGAACTTACTCCAGTAGGCTGAAAAATAAGTCCATCCATTTCATGGCTCACTTCTTTGGCAAAATTTCCTTCAAGTAGCTATAAAATAAATACACATGTATTCTTTAAAAATATAATAATCACTTTAGAATTATTTAAGTTTCTTGATAAGCTCTATAAAAACTTCTTCATATATAAATTGTAAGAACTGAATGAAATACAAAATAAGGGGAAAAGATGGGTCTAAAGGAATCTAGGTTAATACACTGTGAATACACACACACACACACACACACACACACACACACACACACACACACTTCCATTGCTTGGCAGCCAGATAGTCTAAACAATAGTCCTAACTACAACAACCGAACTAACCAATAAAGCACTGAAATATATTTTTAAATGTAATCCTAAGCCAACACAAAAGGAAGAAAGACATAGAAGCAAAAAACAAAGTGAAAGTACAAACTCTGGAAAGTAATACATAAATGGAATAAAAATAAACACATAAAAAAAGGAAAGGCAAAGAAATGCTTGGGGACAAGAATTTGTAACTACAAACTAGCTCAAATATGAAGATTATAGACCAAAACTACAAAGAAACTTGCTTGAGGGCAAGAGTCTGTAACCACAAATCAGCTCAAACATAGGGATTATAACCCAAAAATACATTGTGTTTTCCAAGAACACTTAGAGAATATTTTTAATTTTACTTTGGGGTTTTTTTACATCTTTTCTATAATTTTTCCAAGCAAAGAACTTCATTGCACAGATACACAGTAAAAAATACAAGTAACGTTTTTTCAATGCCTCTGTTTTATAATCAACAGTTATAGACCATATACCCTCTAATTAATTCTAAGTTGTTTTAATGCATTCGTTCACAGATTTTTATTATTTTGAAGAATTCAACATGTATATCACTAATGTAAGCCTGAAACACCAATTTCTGCATTTTGGGAAAGAGAACAAAACATACTTTTACAGAGCCAGGTGAATTCGTTCATTTTCACGCTGCTAATAAAGACATACCCGAGACTGGGTAATTTATGAAGGAAAAGAGGTTTAATGAACTCGCTGTTCCACTTGGCTGGGGTGGCCTCATAGTCAAGGCAGGAGGAGAAGAAGGAGCAAAGGCAAGTCTTACATGGCAGCAGGCAAGAGAATGAGTATCAAGCAAAGGGGGACGCCCCTTATTAACACATCAAATCTCATGAGAATTCACTATTATGAAAACAGTATGAGGGGAAACAGCTCCCATGAACCAATTACTTCCCACCAGGTCCCTCCCACACCACCAGGTTATCCAGAATCTGATCAACTAACAGAAAATTCAGGATAGTTCTAGGCTTCAAATATGTCTGTATTTGAATGCCTATATCTATGTATTCAAATATGTCTGTATTTGAACGTACATATCTATGTGTGTATATATATATGGAGATATATATACACACACACATATATATAAACTAATTGTACTAAAACACTAGTTTCCTTTCAAAGTAATGATCAACAATGCTTCTGTAATGACCAACAATGTTTACAACTTTTATGTTCTATTTCAACTCTTTTCAAATATCCATAAAGCAAGTAATCATGGATAAAGGTTCAAACAAGACTTTTTGTTGTTTCTTATACCACATCATATAAGAAAAGTAACTTGCAGCCAGGTGACTTTGCTCATGCCTGTAATCCCAGAACTTAGGGAGGCCGAGGTGGGTGGATCACATGAGGTCAAGAGTTCGAGATCAGCCTGACCAACATGGTGACACCCCATCTCTTTAAAAATACAAAAAAATAGCTGGGCATGGTGGTGGGTGCCTGTAATCCCAGCTACTACTCATGAGGCTGAGGCAGGAGAATCATCTGAAAATGGGAGATGGAGGTTGCAGTGAGCCAAGATAATGCCATTGCACTCCAGCCTCAGCAACAGAGTGAAACTCCATCTCAAATAAATGAATGAATGAATGAATGAATGAAAAGTAACTTGCTAAATTCATAGCATTTCTGCTGAGCAATGATGCAATGAATACCAACTACTGTAATAATCTCTTTAAAAAAACAAAAGGTTAAAAAATTCGTAACCTTTAATCTTTCATTTGCTCTACTTCTATTGTAGGTACATCATTTATGGCAAGTTATCATGGCTTTTCCAATCTTCAACCAAACTTCTCAAATTCATGTAATGGACCATGTCTGTACATAAAGTATAAAGTAACAATAAAAATAGCCAGTTAGCAAGACTCTACGTAACACGATGTTACCTGCTGCAGAAATGAAGTAATTTCATTTTTTATTCTACTCTAACTTTTCATAAATCAGAGCATTTAAAGGACTATGAAAATTCACGGGTCAAAATAAGAGCTTCTCTTCATTACTCTAGACGATATTTCTTTCTTTACTTGACACATAAACATTTACAATATCATCTATCACGTATTAAAGATCTAAAATGAAGTGTTGTGCTCAGCACTTAACGTATCACTCAAAATACATAACTAACTCCTCATGAGATGTATATTCTCAAGTTTTAAATTACAATTTAAAACTTGCCAGAAAAGGAAATTGAGGCCATCAGACATAAGCAGCTAGCTTTAATTCAGACAGGTAAAGTAAAATCACATAGAACAGACTACAGTAGACTTTAAAACTAAAGAGATAACTAAAGAAAGTCTTATGACTCTTTGAAACAAACGCCCCAAAGATTTCTGCAACTTCCTAAATATTTAAGTCCTCCAAAAGCCACTTAAATTTTATAGACTTGGGCAGGCACGGTGGCTCACACCTGTAATCCTAGCACTTTGGGAGGCTGAGGCAGGGGCTGCTTGAGGCCAGGAGTTCAAGACCAACCTGGCCAACAAAGCAAGACCCCACTTCTGTATTTAACAAAATTTTTATAGACTTTAAATGTGTTATAACATGTACTATATGAATAAAGTGAAGATGAAGAGAGGTTAAATTCTTGAAGAAAATAAAGTTTTTCTAAGAAAGAGATGAAATCTAAAAATGTTATTAATATTGTATGCTTTATTAACTGATTTATATGTTCATATGAGATCATATATATAACATGTTTATTAAATTAGAAATATTGTCTTTTGTCTATCCACAATTCTTTAAAAAAAAAAATCCAAACCTGTTATGGTCATCTTCCATATATCAGTATCTTCATCATTAGAGCCAACATTTAAGTAATTTAGGCAGTTTCCATTATTTTTACTGCTGCTATCTCTAATTTATAGCATACATCAAATTATGCATGAGACTACAACTGCAGATATTATCCCAAGCTATAAGTACCGACTGAATAATGTTAGGAAAATGCTTTTTCCCCTTATTCCTTCCATAGATCTATGTTCATAATTTTAAAAGTGCTTAGCTCTTTGAAGATACCTTGAACAGGCTAGTTTAAGAAAAAGTTCCTCATTCATTTACAATGTGAAAAATAGTAAGAAAATGCTGCATCTACACTGATGATAATAAAAAAGCAGATAATCTACAAAATTATAACTTTTGTTAAGGCCATCAGAAAGCTGGCATCTGCAGGCAACCAAATAAACTGAATCCCAGCCCCCCCAAACGAGGATGAACTCATGTCTCCTTTGGTAGAGAAAAGGAAGAAGAAGTAGCAGTCATAAAAGTGAGTACAAAGAAGACAACTGAACATCTAACCAATTCATAAAAACTAAGTCTAGGTGAGTGGAACCATTTAGAATCCCTGGAAGTCCCAAACACAAGAGATATGAAGTTTTTCCCAGGCTTCTATCAGGTTTCACAGGAAAGACGACAGGAGGGGCAGGGAACATGAGAATGCCTCACCTTGGTTGTACACAGATATTAAAACACCCCTGCTTTCCAAACCCTTCTTGATATGACACAAAAGTTACCTGGGAATACATTCATATGCAGCTATACAAGAAGCTGGAGACGGGCTTGGATCAAGGATTTTATATTCATAAAAAGTAGGAAGACTTGGTCCTGACAAAACACTCCTATGCAAGGCAAAACTTCTCTGGCAAGAGGGAGAGGGAAGACCCACTGAGGAAAAGCCCATGTCTGCGATTCAGGTGTCCAGGTTATGCTTAGTATTTCTCAGGCTAGAGAAGAAAAACTAAGAAAACTCCACAGTCTCCGCAAGTCTGGCACCGAGCGGCAAGAAACAGTTGTTTACATATGGGAAAAAGCACCAGACGTATGCAAATAGAACACTCTGTGGTACAGGGGAGCAGAGCCTACTGAAAGCGAAACGTGAAACAGAAACACCGGGAGAAAACTATTTTATACTCTAGGCATTACAATAAATACAAGTAACAGCAGCCAACTACTGAGAAAATGTGAATTCTTTGGAGTACTTTAGATATAATTATACAGCAACACATAGAACAGACTGATTTAACTACTACCCCTCCCTACCCATGAATGAAGCCTATTAACAAACTAAAAGAAGGATTCCTGGTACCAAGCATAAAGATACTTACCTCAGTCTCTTTTGTTCACATAGGAAAAAAAATCCATGAAACACATCTAATTTTAAAATTCTCTCTCTCACACACACATACACAAAAGAAAAATGAATGACCTATAGTCAAAGAAAAGGCAATCGACAGAAGCAGACAAAGAGAGGGTCTATATCTTGGAATTATCAAAGACTTTAAAAATAAAATTTACAAAAAACAACAGATGCTGGTGAGGTTGTGGAGAAAGAGAACACTTTTACACTGTGGGTGGGAGTATAAATTAGTTCAACCACTGTGGAAGACAGTGTGGTGATTCCTCAGAGAACTAGAGGTAGAAGTATCATTTGACCCAGCAATCCCATTACTGGATATATATACCCAAAGGAATATAAATTATTCTATTATAAACATATATGCACATGTAAATTCACTGCAGGACTATTTATAATAAGCAAAGTAACTGAATCAACCTAAATGCCCATCAATGACAGACTGGATAAAGAAAATGTGGTACATATACACCATGGAATACTATGCAGCCATAAAAAGGAAGAGGATCATGTCTTTCAGGGACATGGATGGAGTTGGAAACCATTATCCTCAACAAACTAATACAGGAACAAAAAAACAAACACTGAATGTTCTTACTTGTAAGTGGAAGTTGATTGATGTGACCACATGGACACATGGGGGTGAACAACACACACTAGGCACCTGTGGGGGCCGTGGGGAAAGGGAGAGCATCAGGAAGTATAGCTAATGGATGCTGACTTAATATCTGGGTGATGGCATGATCTGTGCAATAAACCACCATGGTACACGTTTACTTATATAACAAACCTGCACACCCTGCACATGGTAACCTGAACTTAAAAGTTGATAAATAAATAAAAATAACATTTTAAATGATCTAGACAAAAAAGTGGGAAACATGCATGAACAGATAGGGAGTTTCAGCAGAGATGGAAACAATAAAAATGAAACAATTGAAAATGCAGAAACGAAAACACACAACATCAGAGAAAAAGATGTTAACCAGTGGGAATGATAATCAATGAGATTATCCACAGACTGGACATAGCAGAGGAAGATCACTAAACTTGAAGAAGAAAGGTACGTGGCACTTCTTCCAACTGAAATACAAAAAGAAAAAAAGAGATGAAAAAGAAACAGCACTGAGAATCAAAGAGCTGGGAGACTACAGCCAAAGATAGAACACTTGTACAGCTGGAATGTGATAAGGAAAAGAAAAGTATAAGAGAGCAAAGAAACAACTGAGAGAAATAATGCTTCCAATTGACTACAAAGTCAATTAAACACATACACACACACACACCCCAATGGACTCCAAGAGGACTGGAAGAAAGATGTAAGCAAAAAACAACATGTAGAATTCCCATAGTCAAAAACCATCAAGAAGGGAGAAAAGACTACAGGTAGAGGAACAAAAATAAGATTGACAGCAGACTCCTTTTCTGAAATTATACCAGCCATAAGACAACGAAGCCTCACTTTAAACATATTAACATAAACAATGTTGATCTAAAAATCTTTGGCAAATGAAAATATCTTTCAATAACAAATGCAAATAGAGTTCTTTTTCAGACAGACAATAGCTTATAAAAAATATTTCCACCAAGCCCAAACACAAGAAACTTTAAGAGAAATTTTTCAGGTAGAAAGAATATGATACAAGAATAAAATCTGTATCTAAACCAAAATAATGAAGAGCATTAGAACAGTTAAAAACTAGAACACATGTAAGAAATCTGTGTTCCTTTTTCTTTTCTTACAATATAATTGACTAAAGTAAAAGTATTAACAATGTATTATGGGATTTATAACATACATAAAAACAAAATGTATAAAAGGAAATGAGGTAAGAACCCCAACTATGAAGTAGTATGCTATTATTTAAAAGTAAATTGTGAAAAGAGATACTATAAACCTTAGTATAGTAAACTTAGTAAAATATACACAAAGATGTATATATCTGATAGGCCCAAAAAGCAGAGATATAACGGAATAAGGACATTCTCAAGTAATCCAAATGATGGCAGGACAAAAGAAAATGTGAAAACATGGGGCAAGCCATGTAGTAAATCAAGTAGAAGATGGTAGATTTAAACCAGATTTTTTTTTTCATTTCTAATGATATTTCTTCTAGAAATCACATTACAAAATCAATAAGCAGAAACTGTCATTACTAATCAATTTTTTAAAGAAATCAAGAACCAGCTGGGTATGGTGGCTCATTCATGCCTGTAATGCCAGCACTCTGAGGAGGCAGAGGCAG